GGGGGAGAACAACACTGCAAGGAGATCGTGAAGGGAGACAAGGGGCTGTAAGAGAGTTGTGAGGGGAAAAAGAGCTGCAAGAGTTGGGGAGGAAAGAGGCTACAATGGAGACAGAACAGTTTTAAACCTATCAACAAAGGAATACTCAGCTAACTGGTATCCAAGAAAAACTAAAATTGCTGAGGTCATCCATTCTTCGCAAATGAAGGTGGAATCTCTAGTTTAAGGCTTTGTAGGTTCAGCAGCTGGTATATTTGGAAAAAAATGCAGTGATACCTATTATAATGAACACAATTACTGATCTTAAATCTGGGATTGAGAACTGAGATGCAGTAAATGGGTAGTTACTGCCTAATTCAAATGCTTCAGCTTTGTAAACTGTAACCTCATCATTGTGTCTGTTCTGGGTGATTTTTTTATATGTAGAAGTGTATGTCAGTTCTTTTGAAAACAACTTTTGCTGCTAACTTTGGCCTATTATTTTGCATCAATTTAAATATTGTGGCATCTAAAAAAATAATGTTTTCTTTGTGTTGTGTTTTAAGTTTAAAGTAAAGTTGACTATTATTGAGTATATTGATGATTTCATCTATTCTGTTTCTGTGTAAGTCCAAATTCTGTAAACTAAATATCATCATAATTTTTAAATACAGAAGGTACTGTGATTAAGGGACTGGATCATCAAATGAATAAGTTAGCAAGAATGAAGAAGTAGCCCCTGAAAACCAGAAGCTCATCCCAAAGCCAAAAAACAGCCCTCAAGAAATCTTAAGATGAACCATGAAAAAAAGTTTCTCCAGCATTGTCCCTTTGTTTCAGTTCGCCAGCATCCACAGTTCTGTATTTCATTTTTTCTTAGATTACATCATGTGCTGTAGACTGATGCATTGATAGTCTGGTGTATAAAATGTGGTGCAGTAATGAGTTACATAGCACTCTGATACTTATGTTTACAGTGCATAAACACATAATGGGTTTTTACAGAGGCATCTGGGGTTACTGTTGAGCTAGCAAGAGATGCACATTGCTGCTTACTGGAAAACCTATTAGAATTGTGATAAGTCAGTGCTGGGCATTTCCCCAGATCAACCACCCCAAAGATGTAAATCCCTCCCACTGGGAATTCTTGTCCAGAGGCTGACAGGCCTTCTGCTCAACCATATCATCAGGAAGGTGGTGGCTGCTGTAGGAACACCGCCCATTGCAATACAGAATCAAGATACAGCCCAGATGAAAGGCAAGGCATTTTGTACGGTGTAGGGTCCTAGCACAATGATGACGAACAGCAAGGATACTGTGTGCTCTCATCAAATTCCCTGTTTGCTGATGACAGATCCCTCAATCAGCCTTTCAATGAGTAACCACCTCCCCTGGGATTCCACAAGCAGCCCACGCAGATTTGCTTGCCATGTTCCAAAGTGATAACAGGAACATCCACCAACAGCAGTTGGATGAGATCCTGAAATGGTCATTAATTTCTTATTTGTCTCAAACTGGACCTTCCCAGTCTGGATTTAATTTTGACAAAAGAACTTAGGATGTGTGTAGCCACCCTCCCACCAAATAAAATTCACTCCCTGCCTCCAAACACACTACAAGAGGGGGTACACAACTTTCCACAAAGCTCCTGCACCATACTGAATAATAATAGACAATTAGAGCGGAGCCATGCAGGAGGGAAATCAGGAGTCATTTCTCCACATGAATGGTCAAAGAAGCCTGGAACTGTCTTCCTGCAAACAATGTGGATGCTGTGTCAAGACTTAGGCAGACAGATTTCTGTTGAGTAAATGTATCAAGCGATAATGGAGTAATGGTTGATAAAAATATGTAAACTACAGATCAGCCATGATCAAATTGAATGACTAGCCAGCCCCAAGAGACTATGCTTGTCCCATGTTCCAATTTAATACTTCCAATATTTTTATTTTTACTCCTATGATATTTACAACTGGGAGAAATATATGCTCACTTCAAACTTTGAGCACTATGTTTAGTTTTGGTGCCCATGCATAGTGGAAAATGCAAACAGTTTGAACATTAACAAAATCACAACAAAATTGACCAAACAGAGCTCTTAATTATCAAGATATGCTCCAGGAAACCTGGCTAATTTTGTTTAGAAAAGCGGGATGAGATGATGTATAAGGTAGCTTTCAAAATCAAAGCATTTAGAGCTTGTCCAATTTGAAAACTAGCCTACAATTAGGAAACAGATATACAGTATCCTTAGACACAGTGTTAAGTCAGTCATAAACAAATATTTTATCTTGGTGTATGTATTTTTAATACAAAGGAGGGTACAGACTTGTATGTCAGGCAATGTTAAAGACACCACTCTGTCTGAGTAAATGAGAGGAGATTGGGGGTCCAAACAAAGGAAACATAGTTGCAGGTCAGAGCCTAAAATGGAACACAGTAGAAACATAGGAAATTATAAGGCTCTGCAGATCATCTGCTGCTCCAAATACTCTTGTCCCTTTATAAATCACTGCATTAAATGTTACGTCATTCTCCTCTCTAAATGCTACCTGCCTTCACAAAGTCTGATCCACAATTTCATAGATTGTGTTCTGCAAGAAGTTGTTAAATCAATGCACTGTCAATGCATTTTTCTTCCAAATTTCAGCCTATGGTTCTGTACCCTGATGTTGCATGTCAAGATGCAACTTATTAACTAAACTATAGAGAATCCTCCAATATCAGTTTCAGTGATTTATTTTTTCTCATGTTTACAACATTCTAGATGTGGTTATACCTGCGTCTTGCATACACTGTCACCTCCTGGGATTTGTGCATAATCGATTTGACATGAATCATTTATTATTAAATTCACTGGGCTCATCAACAATATTCAAGATTCCTGTACTTCTGTTGTACCTTTAAGTCTCATTTATTCTCACTTATTTCCCTTTCTGGTCTCAATCTTGCATTAGTCCATTGTATTGCTGCTCATAAAACCAACTCCCCAGTCAATTCGGATGACTCTCCACACATATTACCCCTTCAGTGTTCAACTCTCCACCATACAACTCCACCACTGCAAGTGGGAAACCAGTAGCCTCTGAACACAAAATCAGAAAAGCAATGGATTTAGCACAGATATTCTACCATACTTTGCTGATACCCTTCTCACAAACAAATCTGAGCCAGAACGGCTTGAAGCAATTTTTGATCTCCTGCTTAATCTGCTCTAAGACTGGTTTAAAAATCAGCTCTCATTATGACCAACTAACCCATTATTGCCTACTGATTGGCAGTTAGCTTCTACTTATGGCAGGATCTCACAAATTTGGGACTTTTGTTGATCATCATAAACATATGAGAACTACAGGTCTTCCGGGGCAATATAAATGGATTCAAAAATCACCACTTTATGAATAGTATGAAAATACTTAGTTGAAGCATATACTTACATCAGGATATTCCTTAACAGGTACATAAAGCTTCTCTTGTAACTGTACAATAGGTCCTACACCATCTGGTAATTCTGCACTTTTCTTCTCTGTACTTCCATTTAACGTGTCATTGTACATATCCTTCCGCACTCTGCTGATTTCTGCAGAACAAAAAAGGAAGAAAAATTGTACAAATCTTAATGACGTCAGAAGAATGTAAATATTCAAGCAGAAAATAAGAAACTCAAGAAAATTTAAGTATTACTGATAAAAGGGGGGGGCATGCTGTCAAACCTTTCATTCCGCACTCAGAGGCAAAAATCCCAAATTTCAAACAGAGCAGCAATTTACACTGCATGAGTAAAGGACAGGGGTAATGATTAGTTGGAAAATTGACTGATTAATCAACATTTGCCACAGAGAATGATTAAGACAACTAAAACATTTTTATTTCATTCATCATAAGCTCAATGCCTGGACATGTTCCTTTAGACTGCAGAGAACATACATGAATGTACGTTGCTTCAAGCAAGTACAAGTCAGCCACTTTCTAAGTCCGAGTTACACTTTTAAATTTGGTTGTTAGTTTCATTCTTAGCATGATCGGGATTGTGCACCAATTGCTGTTCAATTACAATCATATTTAACATTAGACATTGCATTTTAAATTCTCTTGACAGAGGCTGGATAAGTACAATCAATCAGTCCTCAATCTATTGTGAACAGGCATATAAATGTGCTGTTTGGCACTATTCATGAGCACATATGACATCACGTCAGCACAGAAATTGATATACAACATTATTATTCATGTGGCAGGCAGAACTTCAATTTGCTATTATGGCAGCATCCTGCATTGGTTTATATCACAATTACAGGCAGAACATACCTCCCTTTTGCTGCCCACAATAGGTAGGATATTAACAGTACTTAACTAGCCCATGGTTGAAAACCTTGAAAAGCAGTGTCTAATGCTGGATATGACTGCATTTGGATTGCATTTGATGAACAATCCCAAGTGGGCTAGATATGATATTAACAGCCAATTTAAGACAAATACTTTCAGCAGCATATCACATTTTTCAGCAACATTCATTTTTGAGTGGCCCAACTCTCAAACATTTGCTGATTGAAGAATTGAGACAACAATTATTACAAAAATAAACAGAAATCAACGAAAACTCAACTTTGTACAGTACTGCAACTTGTTTTTCTGGAGTTTGACCGTGGAAACATGGCTCCCAGCCTTCCTGATGCTAATGAAATGACATTAATTGCTTATATACATTAAGGTATGTAACAAAATGTATCATTCCAGATTCAACATGAGCACTTTGTCAACTGGATTATCATCTAAAACAAACCTCAAAAGCATTTTTAGGTAAACCTCTAAAAACGTTTGAAATAAAAAGAAGCCTTTGCTTCTTTTAAAACAAGGTCAATTTTTTTAAAAAAATCTTGCCTAAGACCGTAAGATGTAGGAGCAAAAGTAGTCTATTCAGTCCATCCAGTCTACACCACCATTCGATGAGATCATGGCTGGTCTGTTCATCCTCAACTCCACTTTCCTGCCTTTTCCCCATAAGCCTCGATTCTTTTACTGGGAAAAAAAAATCTATATCAGCCTTGAATGTACTCGAAAAAACCAGCCCTGACGGCTGTCTGCAGTAAAAATTTCACAAACTGACTACCCTCGAAATAAGAAATTGCTCCTCATCTCTGTCCTCAGTGGAATTCTCTATTCTGAGATTATACCCTCCAGTTCTCGACTCATCCATAAGGGGAAACAATCTTTATCCATCTATCTTGTCAAGCCCCCAAGATTTCAACATGTTTGTAATTGTATAGTGACTTTACCTCTCAGCAACATCTCAAAACATTTACTTTGCAACATTAGGTTCTGAAGTACCCTATGCAATATTCCCAGTTTAAATTCAAAGCTTTTTCTTATTTTCTCCTTCAGCCAATTTCTTAACCACTTACAAAGTTTTACTCAAAATTCGCACTGCTTGCAATTTAACTACTTTCTATATGGGTCTTTGTCAAATATCATTTCGAAGTATAATTACATCATATTAATGGGATTTTCATAATCCATTTCAGATGCCCCTACTCAATCAGGACAGTCTAGCAGGATCTTCCATTTCTGAATGTTGGGCATGTTTTACTAGGTTATTATTACACAGACAATTTTCAATGCATTACTGGTAATTTTATAGAGAATGAAAAGCAGTTTGTAGTTGTCTCTGCATGCTTTCTAATATTAGGCCAATGACCAACTTCCAGTAATATCCATTGTACCTCTCAAATCTCCTCAGAATATTTCAGCACCAATATAGCTTTGGGTGATCACCAACCTTAAAAATCATCAGGATACATCAGTCAAATCATGATTTTCAAAATGTACTTGCACTGTTAGCTATATTACATTCTACTATTACTACAAATCAATTACACAGAGAAACTTGTATTTATCATGCAACCCCTTTCAGCATTGCTATAACTTTCTGAACAGATCAACAAAGAATGATACATTTTAAAACAACCAATCCACAAATAAATCAATAATAAAGACTCAAGCAATGGACAACACTTTTCAGGGAAAAAAACCTGTAAAGTAGACTATGGGCCTGCACATCAGGTCTGCCAACAAAACTCCAAAGTGCATTAAGATATATTGGCATAGAGGTTGTGAGCTAAGGTTATCTAGGTACAGCTGAATGGATAACCCACTTGACAGAAGTATGTAAAAAGGTCAGGCAATGTATTCTTAATTCTTTAGAGTACATTAAAATGGACTAGAAATAGGCACAGAGCTAGACCATTCAGCATCTCAAGAAAGATGTTGTCAAGTTAGCAATGTTTGCTGACACTGACAACTATGGGCAACTATGCATGCACGCTCATTGTGAAATGCATGGTTCCAACCACTGACATCATCACAAACATTGCATGTGACCTCACACATAAATGCATTATTGTGCATGTGCATGGAATGGACTTGAAGTGGGCTTCTGTACTGCAACTGATGTGGGAGGCTGGGGTGGGGCACCTGGAATGTTGGACATTGGACAGGTGTTTTTGGGAATTCCAGGAGTGAGAAGGGGTGCCCAGGAGTGAGGGATTGGAAGGGTAGGGTGGGTAACAAAGAAAGGAGTAAGGGGTTTAGGGGTGGGGGTGGGGGTGGTTGGTGGTGGGGAGTAATAAGAGGTGTCAAGGAAAGCCCAGGAAAACCCTTCCAGTTCTCTCCCCTCCCAACCAGTTTTCTCCTGGGTCCTGATCTCTCCCACTGGATTCCTCTTGATCTCTTCACCACACCCGCTCCCCTCTCAAATCCCAATCACCACTCCCTCCATCTTGATCTCTTCAACCCTGCCCTTCCCCTCAGGCCCAAACTCCCCTCTCCTACCCTGTTCCCCATTTCTCTCCCCTAACCTCTCTCATCAAATTCTAAAATCTATGTGTGGATCGGTGTCAGCCAACATAGCCTACCAAGAAACAGGTGAAAGCATTTTGTACACTGCAAAAGCCATCAGCCTGAAAACATTTTGTTAATAGTACAAAAGATATGCTGCAGAATTAGTTGCGTCTTGGCTTTGCAGTTCCAGTATAGTTGCAAACACTACTATCTACACAGGAATGTGGAAAATTGCCCAGGTACACCCTGTCCACTCCAACCCAGTCAATTACCACTCTATCACAAAGTGATGGAAGGGGTCATCAACAGCGTTATTTACCAGCACCTGTTCAATAATAATTTACTCACTAACACGCTCAGTCTGGATTCCTCCAGGACCACTCTGCTCCTGACCTCATTAGTCCATGTGTGGACCAACGCTATAAAGTACTGAACTCAAAGTGAGGTTAGAGTGACTGCCTTTGACATCAAGGCAGCATTATCCAAAAATGGCATCAAGAAGCCCTAAAAAAAAAACTGGAGTCAATGGAAATCAGGGGGTTGCTGGTTGGAGTCATACTAAGCACAAAGGAAAAGGTCTATGGTTTCTTGAAGTCAATCAACTCAGCCCTATGAGATTACCGCAAGAGGTTCTCAGGGTTATGATCTAGGCCCAACTATCTTCAGCTCCCTCATCAATGACCTTCCCTCCATCATAAGGTCTAAAACGGGATGTACACTGCACAATGTTCATCACTATCTGCCACCTTTCAAATACTGAAGCAGCCCATGTCCACATGCAGCAATATCTGGGCAAAGTGCCAGACAATGACCATCTCAAACAAGATATAATCTCACCAGCTTTCTATTTTCCCTGATGATCAATGACATGACCATCATTAAATCCCCAACTATCACCATCTTGTCGGTTATCACTGACAAGAAACAGAACTTGATCAGCCACATAAATACTCTGACGAGAAGAGCAGGTCAGAGGCTAGGAACACTGTGGTGAGTAACTTGTCTCCTATATTCCAAATGCCTGACTATGATATGCAAGGCGCAAGTCAGCAGTGTGATGGAACACAGTGCTTTCCACTTACCTAGATGTGTGCAGATTGAACAACAACCAAGAAGCTTAACACCATCTAGGACAAAGTAGTCTGCGGCCTGGACCATTTCTGACACCTCCCTCCCCTTCTCCATCTCCATCTCCGGAAACAGATCCGCCACCAACATCAATTTCAAACCCACTTCGACTCCACCTCCTCTCATCCACCCTCCTGTAAAAATGCGATCCCATACTCACAATTCCTCTGCTGCATCTACTCCCAGGATGAGGCATTCCACTCCAGGACATCCCAGATATCCGCCTACTTTAGGGATCCTCCTCTGTAATTAAGGATGCCCTCAACTGCATCTCCTCCATTTCCTGCACTTCTACCCTCAAACCCTCTTCCCCCAACAGCAATGAGGATAGATTCCCCTTCATCCTCACATACCACCCCACCAATCTCCGGATCCAACACATCATCCTCTGAGACATAGCAAGAACTGCAGATGCTGGAGTCAGAGATAATACAGTATGGAGCTGGGGGAACAGGCCAGGCTGCAGAGGAGCAGGAAAGATGACGTTTCGGGTCAGGACCCTTCTTTTTCTAACTTCAAAATCCCTCCAGCCCCAGCCTTATTCCATGTCCAGCCTTCACCGGACCTGACCTAACCTGTCCATCTTCTTACTCTCCTATCCGCTCCACCCTTCCC